TAGCTGACGCTACACTAGAAGAAGTAGTGTCAGTGGTGAAGAGGCAGCGTACGGCCTGCGCGCCGAAAGAACTGATTAATCAGACATTTGTCTGTCTTTACAGGTAAGCTGGGTGGTTGGTAATATAAACAGATGTTATAAAAGTGACAGACAGCAGTGGCGATTAATGATAAATGTCTTGTTTGTAGTGAATGTCAAGCTAAAGAGCTAATTTCCAAGTTGGTCCAGTTGTTAGCCTGTGCCGATCCAAGTGTTAGACTGTACCGAAACTCTGAGCTCGGTGCAGGTATTTTTGGTTAAAGCCACACTTAATATGTTTTGCACAATAAGAGAAATGTAAGTTGCTTTATGTTTAGCTCATGAAGAGTGAATGCTATAAAAATATGTTAAGAAAAATGTCTATTTGAAAGGGATAGAGTTGAATAAATACAGTTAATAAGACAGGTTCATAAATAGATTAAAACAGTAGTAAAAACAAGATCAAACTGTAATGAGAGTTCACTATGTTATTCATGCGTATAGTAAAATGTATTTGTGTGATTTAAGCAGTTTACAGAATTGGTGCATATGAATATGAAACTGTATAAGCTACTTGTATAAAGTAATTACATTACATTTACATTGTCTTACATACAGTACATGTCTGGTATTTGCATATCAAACAGCCAGGTCCAGACTGAGTTTAGGAGACCTGTGGTTCAAAGCCCTGTGACACAAACATCCACAGTACACTCTGCTATCAGCAGCACTGCTGTTTCCACGTCACCTACATTTACAGTGCTGTTGCTAACTGCATTAATACTGCTTATATGCACACACACTCTTATGACCTCACTACTGCTTCGACTGATAAGAATGTTTTGCATGATCGATGAATAGAGAGTATATATTTATATTAATGTACTTTATATTATAGTTATATAAGGCAACAAAAACTGATTTATTAAATAGAGACAGACAGTGGGCGTGGTGTACCTGGACACTGGGGCAAGTTGCATGCCTTCTCTTGGTGAGAGCTTCCAGGACAGGGTGGTGTCACACACTGTCGATGGCGGGACTTCAGGGCCGGGCTGAGAGCGTCGGTGCAGGTCTTTGTGCAAGGACTCCACGGTGACCAGGGAGAGAACCCAGAGTCCTCATCTGTGGAAACAGAAAGATGATGAAGTACAGAGAGGATATTTAAGATAAGAAAAGCTTAAAAAGCATGCACAAATACAAGAAAAAGAAATGGAAAAAGGCAACCAAAGGAACAGAGTAAAATGAGTGCACAGCAAAGTGTTTGAACCTACCCGGTGTGGCTGGTTCTTCTGTTGGAACAACAGTAGCTGGAGGGGAAAAGCAGCTTTTCATGAATCTGACCTTCATCCCTGAACTACACATATTACACACAGCACGTGTTCTACACAATCTCTCCAAAGTACCTGGACAGTCGGGGGCCTGGCAGTAGGTCGTTTCCCTCCGTGGCCCCTGGCAGTCTCTCCCTCCATGGGCCGGGGCGGGCTGTGTGCAACCTCTAGAGCGAGTTTTGAGCCCCAAACCACCGCAGGATAGTGAGCAAGGGCTCCAGGGGCCCCAGGAAGACAAAGCACC